GCCAATCATTATTACATATTCGGGTCTTTAGCGACCCGGACCTATATATCCAGCACGGATGGACCTCTAACTGCTGCAATAGCAAAAAATTATCTTGATATTTTAAGAACTATTACAGCAGAATAAAATCAAGCATATTTTGATTCCTTTTGAAACTTAAAAGGGTTCAATTTGAGCAGATGATTTTACCATCTCTGTCATCGTCAGAGCGCACTTCCACAGCACATTCAGCATCTGCCTCACATTCACGATCTCAACCATATTCTCAAAACTATCGTTTTCAGCGACTTCATAATCAATATTTTGATCACTGGCAGCTTATTCACCACATCCAGCATCAAATGGCAGTGACATTTATATTTCATTGCTTATAGTAATTGCTCTGCAGTAAAGCCATTCAAACCAGTTAAATTTTTGCTGATGATATTCGTTTGTTTTATGCCTGCGGTAAACATCACGTCATCATTGTGTATCAAACAGTGCCACCTTGAGGAAAAAATATGCATTGCACAAATCGAGTCATCAGATATGTAAATATAGTCGCGCAGGAAAAAATACTTACACATTTACATACCTCGGGTCTGTAGCGACCCTATACACTTTTTACAAAAAATGTATCAGAAAACAGGCATTCTTTTATATTTTACTATTTTTTTCTTGTTATATTGTTTATAATGAATATATTGAGGAATACTAAGAAAGTTGATGTCAAACTTTAAAAAATGAAGGAGGTAGAGGGTAGAGAATGATGTCCCGGGACGCTAAAGACCCGAGGTATGCATTTAAGGGTTAAATAGATATTTCTTAGGGCTGAATTTAAGTTTTAAAATTCCAAACTTGTCAAATCACAAATGCTGTCATACCCAGAGACTGCAGTTACATGATGTTAGTGTTATTGGCCATGGATCCAAGATTATGTGGAGATCTCCAATCTTTTTAGAGCAGCTCATGAGCAATAGAACAACTAGTAAAGACAAAACTAAAGTACACAGATGAATTATATCTCAGAAATTAAAATTGGTTCTTTCAATAATGGCATGCCTAGGCCTATTAGATTATTTTGACAAAATATTGAACAATTTGGGGTTCATGATCACGATGTGAAACTCAAGCCCATTGTGATGGACATCTTCCAACTGTTTTAATCCAGCGTATAGACACTGTCGCAAGGGGAATGCCACGGAGCCTACGTTTAGTAGCTTCTGTCGTTATCGAAATTGTTTTACTCGAGTAGACTTGGTGGTATTCCACCCTAACAACATACATTCCCCATTCAGTTCACTGTCTGTGGAGGCAGTGACTAAACGAGATGATGTTCTGGCCAGAGGTGGGTGTGAGAGTGTGTGAAAGTGTGTGAGCGATGGTGCGCCAAGGCAGAAAAACTGCCATGAACAGCTGTTTCCAAATTTTCTAAGCGGGCACACAAGGTAGATTATGCCCGAGAAAATAATGGCTGTGGACTAATTTGGCTAATTATCCTGGCCTGGGATATTTTTGTGGCAGAAAGAAAAAGTGTCACACCTGCGCAGGGTAAAACATGGGAAGGCATAGCAAGAAGGCTTGCCCTGTCCACCCCACACTTAACTTTTTCCCTTTCAGGATGACATGATTCTGATTCTGTGTCAGATGTATGAAACACATTGTGCTTGTTAACATGTTAAAGGTGGGCTGAGTGTTTCCCAGAAAAATGTATATTAATGGGTGAAAAGCCTGAATAAAAGGTCATGTTTAAGAAATTATTTGATGAATAGTCAGACACCTTTAAGCAACAAATAAATAATTGAGCTGAATTGAAATTTAGTATACACCACCTAGGCGTGGTATACAGGGGGAAAATGAAAGAAATCAGATGAAATTATAAATGATATTGACTGAAATTGGAATGATATGGGTTCCAGCCCAGTCAATCTACTGGTGGAAAATGGACAGCCCTCAGTCCACATGAATTTAGTCTTCACAGGTCACTGCAGTAAGGATCGACTGGGTGATGAGTAAACATGTGCTGTCTCTAACAAAAGCATTTTAAGATCTCCTTTCACAGGCAGAAGTAGTTCTTCTGATATCAAGGATGGTTTACTCCGCTAATCTGGACTGTCCGAGTGACAGAGCGAGATACATGGCTTCGGTGTTCCCTTAACGTTGTTGAAAGGAGGAACATCCTGAGTTCACACCAGGTGTGCCTCTAACCCTGGCAGGGGCAGAAGAGTCCCCTAGGGGGACCAATGAGGAGAATGAGCAAACTCAACTGGTGGCTTAAAAGACCACTGTTTGCTCCAACTGTTAAAGAGCCTGCCGGAATCAAGGAAAGATTGAGGAGCAACTCCGTGTTTAGCAGAAAAAGGAGAATGCGAGAGAGACTGATTAAATCATCCTGATCCTGACCTCATTCTGATACAGTATGGAATGAAGAGATTACGATGTGGTTTAGATTTATCAAAAGATTTGTTGTGTCTATTTGTAGGACATTACTGATAATGTTA